TATACACACACACACACACACACACACACACACACACACACATATATATATATATATAAATAAAATGTCAATAATCAGCCACTAACAAGTAGCCTTTTAGTTCCACACATTCTACTTCTGCGCATACCAATCACCCATACTTTCAACTCCTCCACTGCCTTTCATTTGCCAAATGCAAAACTGAGCACTGCCAATGCATTCTGAGTCGTAGCAATGCAGTTGTTCTGTCGGTACCAGGGTCTTAGTTTGAGCATCGCTTTTTAAATGTTCTTGAATTTTGTCTTTATCAAATTAAGGTTAGCAGAAGATATATTCTGAAAATGAATTCAGGTTGTTAAAACATTAAGATTTATAACTAGAATGCATTTATAGTAAGTTAAAAGGTACTCAAACTACAGATACTGAGAAGTGCTTTCCATCCAACTAGTAATACAAAATCTAGGTCTCAGGTAGAAGTCACTCTGCATGCTAAATGCAGAAAACTGCCTCTGTCCAACACTCACTGGATGTAGGTGAATCTACTGTGTGTTCAATAGTGGAGGGCAAATTAATTAACTTACATTTTAAAAATTATGAAGACTATTGAAAAATGAATATTTAAAAGGAACATGTTTTTTTTTCTTATATAATTTAATCTCACAGGGAATGAAGTCAACAATCTCCCAACCCCATATATTCTCATAGGATGTAAACTTCTTGTTTACTTCTATGCAGACTCAGGAATATAGGAACAAAGTATGTACAAAAATAACACAATTACATAAATCAGCCCTCTAAGTTTTCATTCTGAAAGTGATGTCCATATCTAATAATAAGAAGGCACAAATACAGCTTCTCCTACATCAACCAAAACACATCTGCATTATAACATCCTAGTAGTTCCACAAAACTAAACCAATGGTCACTTTACACACAAACACACACATGGTTTCAAAAGGTTCATAGGAAAAAGTCACTATCCTTAATTCTATTTTTCCATAAGCTGTCTCTCATATGAATGTCTAAATAGATATTTATAATCTCTGATGAACATTTTGCTAGCACTACTTATTTTCATCCATTTGATCACATATTTCATCCTTTTTAGCCATTTTAATCATCATAATGAATTCCTAAATTCTAAAACAATGTTTCCAATAGTGGATAATACTGTCCCAAGGTTTTGGGGAAGGGGGGGGGGGGCACCTGTGAAAGCAGGTACCTACACTTTATGCTGAATTGCAGGCTCTAATACAAAACTTTTAAATTGTCAGGTGGGGGGTATGGGGGACGGGACAGGGCTTTTTCCCCCCCTTGAAATGGGGGTAGTCCAATAAGTCTGAAAACTTATGCTCTTAGGGGTACTCAAAAGTCTCAATATCTGTGAACCTGCGAAATAAACAAATAATAACCCTATTCAGGCCTCCGAGTTATAGGTGTGAATGATGAAGAGTTCTGTCAATCTGCCCTCTTATGGAAGCGTGTCCTCAGCCTCCCTTCAGTAGTTTACTTACAAATGAACAAAATTGAAAACTTTTAAAAGAATATTAAGATTATGATAAAAATAACAAGTGCAGCTAAAATCTAAGAAGTAGTGCCAATATTTTTAATATTTGTTTTACAGATTGGGAAAACACTTTTGTCTACTTACTCCTTCCTTACACTACACACTATCTGCCTTCCACAGTCACTGGTATAAACTGTTATAGTTTAGCACTCTACATAGTATTTTCTTTATCCAAGCTAAACTAAGGCTCACACACACTGGACTCTTAATCACTGTGTAACATCCCAAAATGCATCCTAATAGAGTACATTGGTCACTTAAATTTTGCTTAATAAACCTTCTAATACACCCTCCAAAAGAAAATTTTTTCTACAAATGCTTAAATAGCAGGAAACCAATTTAAATTGGATTCATAAGTGTTTAAGTATCCTTAAGAGTGGGATTATGGTTTTAAGGCAATAGACTTACCTATTCTGCACCTGAGTTGCTGCAAAATGAACATAATTCTTCTTTTCAAGAAGCTTAGCCAGTAGATTTTCAATCGCACCTTTCTGATTTTGAAAAGCTTCTTCCAAAAACTGATACCTTAAAACCAAAAGAAAACTATATTTAAAACGGAAAATATGCAACCAAGACTTCAGAAATTAAGAAAATTGAGTCAACTGTGAAACCTTAAAGGATCAATTCGATTGGCATAAATCACGTACCCTTTAAATTGGAAAACACAACCACATTATAGAAAACAATTTTAAAGTGGAGAAAATCAACTATAGCTTCAATACAACAAAACTACTGTTACTATAATATATAGCTCTTTCGTCTTTCTGATATGCATTTTACAATGCATGTGTACTCAACACTATAGATGCAATTTTACAGCACACTTATCCTTACAATCACTTAAAATTATTTTTCAGCTCTAGATGCTGTATATTACTGAATGTTCCAAAACAGTTTTGTCAGTAACAATAACATTCACAACAATTTTAGTTTTTAGCTTTACCAACATGAGTGGTACATGTTAAGATTGTAAAACTACTTTTGTGAACATTTACAAGTATACAGTTCATTCAAATATACAGTTCATTGGCTATTAGAAATCTAGAATAGTTTCTGCTTAAATGATCATTACATCAACAAACATGTTTTAGCTCCTTGGATATTCAGGAAGGATCCACTCTTGGAGAAGGACATCACGTGTGATACAGTTAGGGTCAGAGAAAAAGCAGGCAATCACCAACCAGATGGACTGGCACGGTGGCTGCAACACTGGCTCAAACATAGCATTTTTTCTGTTGTACATGAGGTTGCTGAGTTGGAAACCAACGGGCCCAACGGCACCTACCAATAACACATGCTAGAATACATGAGTAAAAAAATCCATTATGGCTCATCTTCTAGTAGGAATTTGGCAAAAATATGAAATATGATGGGGGTATATACAAACTGCAACAAAAACACAGTGATAAATCTGCCTGACATTATAAAAGTGTTCACAGTAAAATCAGAATACTATGAGTCTATGTTAAATGCAGAGGCATGTCAGGGTAAAACAATAAATTCTTTGATATATCCTAAGAAAAACATGAGAAAGTTAGAACAGGGGACAACTACTGATAAATTCTAATTCTTAGATTTCCTTCTCTCATATTGGGAAACCATTTTAGAATTTTACCTAATATATGATCAGAAAAATTATGGGACAAAATATTTAAGATGGTTTTGAAGGAGGGAGCAATAGAGAAAGATGAGCGAGAACTCTAGAATGTCTGAGATGAGAAATCCGTGTATAGAAATAGTCGGTAAGGCTAGAAACAAACAAACAAGCAGAAACAATGGTCTTTGGTCAGAGAAGGCAGCCATTTTATTAAGCGGGGAATTTATGTGCCTTCAGTTATAGGAAGGTCCAGGGTATGGCCTGAGAACAGAATGCACAGCTAAGTTAAGGTCAAGAAAAGATCCAAAAGTGGGGTGTTGACAAAGTTATAACTATCCAAGGACACACTCAGAAACCACTACAATAAACTCTGGTATTGAGGTGAAGCGGTGGCTCTGAACATTTAGATGTTCGTGTCTTCAGTACGATGACAGTTGAGGTAAAACCAAGAGCATGGTGTACGAAAGCTGTAAACATGAACCAAAGTTGGGTAAGGATGTTTTCTGAGTGGCAGGGTTCAAGAGGTAAAGGAAGAATGGAAAGCAGCAGAAGGGGAAGAGTACAGCTTTCCAGTAGGGCTTTTATTTTGTATACAATAGTTTTATAGCCAACAAAAAAAAATGTAAGCTGGCTATAAAATAAAGGCTAGCACATTGTAATTACATATAGATTAAAAGGACAAAAGGGATTTGGGTGTTTTAATTTAAAATATATGTAAAGAGGTTCTCTTTTTGGAAATGGCAACCAAGGTGTGATAGGTAGGTTTTTTGTACCAACCTGGCCAATGAACACGAGGGATTAATTGAAGGGTGGAGAGATAAGTGGCTCAGCGAGCCTCGCCTTTCTTGTCTCTTGCTCTCTGATGATCAGAACAGTGTGTGGCTGCCTTAGCTGGTTCTCTGCCTCAACTTGCAAGCTACGCTACCTGTGGGACACCAACCCAGGGACTATGTCACTATAGTTTGAGGTTCCTTCAAGACCTGCTTCACCACACTATTGGAGTATACATCCCTTGAGCTGGGGGCTGTGGACCCTGTCATCTGGCTGACTGTTGGTGACCTTCCCTGCTGTTTACTGCCTGTGGCCAGATTGCCTGAATTATCCTACAGAGGACTCATCTGTCTGCTTTCTTGACTTGCACCCGGTGGCCCTCAACACTTGAAGGACTGCCAGTGTATTAGTTGTCTCACAGAAGTGAGTTGCACTGAGCCATTTGTACTGTTCCATAGACTAATTAGTTGCTTATTTCTTATGTTGTATATATCTATATAAATATATATAAAATCATAAGTATCCTGGTTTTGTTTCTCTAGAGAACCCTGTCTAGCACAAAGGTTTATTCCTTCAATGAACAGCAACATTCTATTCATATATCAGGGTTTGCCTACATACAAAATAAAACTTTACTATGTTAAATCTGTTTACACACAAACTAAGTAGATGAGGATAG